ACGAGGAGTATTACTAATACTAAGAATCAGACTATGATTAATACGAACATGAAGAATACGAATAATAAGCATAAGAAGAAGCATGCGAATCCTATTAATACTAAGACGAATACTACGCATACGAAGAAAACGTCTGATACTAAGAGACATAAGGATAACCATAATACTACCAGTGATACTACTACTGTTAGCATTAAGAATCACACCAGTCATCGTAATGATAAGATTACTACTACTAAGAATAATACTATTAATTCTACTATTCCTAACACTGAAACAGTTTCATTGTTAGGAATAGTAGAATTATTAGCACTAACATAAACTTGTAACATAAAATTGTGATACAAACTAACACTAATACCACGCATACTACGGATGCTACTAATACTACTACTTATACTACTAATACTAAATCGCACTGATACTACGAATAATATCAATACTACCACTAGCAACACTACTAATACCAGTAAGACTGAAAACTAGTATTACTATGCGTATTATTACTATTATTATTCTTTTTTACTAGTAATACTAATATTACGACTACTAACAGTAATACGAATGCTGCTGCTACTAAGCACATTAATACTATTCATAATAATTCTAATAATGACAGTATGATTAATACTGCTAGTAGTAATACGAACACTATTTCTAATACTACTACTAATAGTAATACTAATTCTACTAATGATACTGTTCATACTAATGCTGATGATTATGATGATGATCATAATGATAACAACAATAATATTACGAACATTACTAATATAAATATTAATACTACTACTACTAATAATACTAGTTCTAATACTACTACTAATAATAATAATAATAATACTAGTACGAATACTACTATTATTAGTACTACAACTAATAACACTACGATCACTACTACTACTACTACTACGACTACGACTACGACTGTTACTACTACTACTACTACTACTACTACTACTACTACTAGTACTACTACTACTACTACTACTACTACTACTACTACTACTACTACTACTACTTACTACTACTACTCGACTACTACTACTACTACTACTACTACTACTACCACTACTACTACTACTACTACTACTACTATGCTGCTGCTGCTGCTGCTGCTGCTGCTACTATACTAATATCACTACATACACTACTACACCTACTACACCCACAACCACTATACTTATACTATACTTACTACTCCTACTACTACTACTACACTAATAATACGGATGATACCAGTAAGACGAATATATACTAGCAACACACTCGGAGGAGGAGGCGGAGGAGATGAGGAGGAGGAGAAGGAGGAGGAGGATGAGGGGGTGATGATTGGGATTGATGATGATGCTGCTGCTGAGATGATGATGATGTGATGATGTTGGAGGAGGAGGAGGAAGGGAGGAGGTGAGGAAGAGGAGGAGGAGGAGGAGGAGGAGGAGGGAGCAGAGCAGGAGCAGGAGGAGGGAGGATGAGGAGGAGGAGGAGGAGGAGGAGGAAGAGAAAAGGAGGAGGAGGAGGAGGAGGAGGAATACTAATACTATTGATACTAATAATAGTAGTAAAAATACTAATACTAAGAATAAGAACAATAATACTAATAATAAGAATAATGCGAATAATAATAACAATAATAATAATATTATTAATAATAATACTAATAATATTAATTATACTACTAATAATAATAATAATTATAATCATAATCATAATAATAATAATAACAATACTAATACTACGAATAATAATAATACGAATAATAATAAGAAGAAGAAGAATAATAAGAAGATGAATAAGAATAATTAAACAAATAAGAAGACAAAGAGGAGGAGGAAGAGGAGGAGGAGGGAGGAGGAGGAGGGGAGGGAGGAGGCGGAGGGGAGGAGGAGGAGGAGGAAAGGGAGGAGGAGGAGGAAAGGAGGAGGAGGAGGAGAAGGAGGCGGAGGAGGAGGAGGGGAGAGGAGGGGGAAAGGGAGCAGGAGGATGAGGAGGATGAGGCGGAGGAGGAGGAGGAGGAGGAGGAGGAGGTAGGCAGGAAGGAGCAGGAGGAGGAGGCGGAGGAGGAGGAGGAGGATGAGGAGTTTTAAGAGGATGAGGAGGAGGCGGATGAGGATGAGGATGAGAATGAGATGAGGAGGAGGATGAGAGAGGAGGAGGAGGAGGAGGAGGAGGAGCAGGAAAGAGCAGAGGAGGGAGGAGGAAGGAGGAGGGGAGGAGGTGGAAGACGAAGAGGAACCTCAGTCTTCAGAAGGGGCCTCCAGACGGCGAGGCCGCTGCTGTTTCTCCCCCTTTGCCAGCGGAGGTTGCGCTCGTGACGGGTTTCGCCCTCGCGAAGCAGGACCAGAGGTGCGACAGCCGCGCGCCTCGCGGGGTCGCGCGCGCAGGCGGAAATTTTGCTGTCGGAGGTGTGCTCGTCTCGCCCAGGAAGGCTTCAAGATCGGCCCACGCGGAGGAGGAGGAGGAGGAGGAGGAGGAGGAGGAGGAGGAGGAGGAGGAGGAG